CCTTCATCCTGCTGGCACAGACTTTCTAGATTCCACCACTGACCTTTGGGCCTTTGCAGCACAGATCCATGAAAGAGACCTGCATAAGACATTGTCATAGGCTCTAGGTCTTCAGCTGGACTCATGCAGGGCATTATGGTGGGATCCAAGGCCTCAGCTGGATTCTTTGCTCTTTAGTGTGTGGACAGATTTCCTGCACTCTCTTGTATATGATTCTTTGGGTGATTATTATAAATAATCTTATGAAGTATGTGTCCTGTATTATACGTTTCCCCTTGCAAATAACCCCCAAACCAACACACTATGCATGCAATCCAGGAATAAATCCCACTTGGTTATAACACATAATATTTTTAACTTGGTATGTCTGCTAGTACTTTGAGTATTTCTGCACCATTATTGAAGGTATTGCTACACAATTTTTTTCTTAGTCTTGGGCTTTAGTGCCACAGTAATGGAGCCTTACTAGAGTGAGTTTGATGTGTTCCTTCAATGTCTGAAACAGGCTGAGGAGGGCTGGTGTAATTTTTTTTTTTCCGGTACCGGGAATCGAACTCATGACCTCGCGCTTGCCAGGCAGGTGCTGTGCCGCTGAGCTAAATCCCCAGCCCCTACATTTTCAGATGTTTTCCCCATGAGGCCGTCTAACGCTGGCTTTTCCTTTGTGGGAAAGTCTTTTATCATGGATTCAACATTCCTACTCATTTCAGGCCTGCCCAGATTTTACTTTTTATTATTTAATCTCGGTTGGTTATTCTTGGTTGTCAATACTTTCAAATGGTAAAAAATAAAAACAGATGCAAGCCAGGCATGGTGGTGTGTGCCTGTCATCCCAGCTACTCAGGAGCCAAGGCAGGAGGGTCACGTGAGCCTGGAGTTCCAGGCCTGCCAGACCTGGGCTTGAGAAAAACAGATGCACCTTCTGTCGGTTATGCAAAGTCTATGGAAAAACATTAAAACTTAAGTACATACACTGGGAACGTTTTATGTGAACTTTTGTTTTCTTATTTTCTATCTCTTCACATGAGATGCAGTGCATAATTTCCTCTGATGTGATGACAATTCTTTTCAGCTGTCTTAATTCAAGTTTTTAAACTTCAGTAAGTATTTCTAAGTTTTCTTTGGTTTTTCTTTTTTTTTCACTGTACGCCGATTACACTTTTTAACTCTTCAAAGGCACTTTTGGTCTATTTTATTATCTCTGCAATCCTTAGCTCCACTGCATGTGATGATGTACTGTCTTCTTAGGTAGCACAATTACTCTATGTCTGCAGGTTTGCTGTTTGATTTTTAAACTCAGGGTCTCAGTGTGAGGCTGCTTAGGTCTGAATTTAGCTTGCAGAGTTCTTCCAGTTCATTCTCCTGCCTTCTTTTTTTTTTTTTTTTTTTTGTCTTTGTCTTTTTGAGACAGGGTCTTGCTATGCAGTTCAGGCTGGTCTTCAGCTCACTTTGTAGCCCAGGCTGGTCTTGAACTCGCAATGATCCTCCTGCCTCAGCCTCCTGAGTGCTGGGATTACAGGCATGTGCCACCAGGTCTGGCTATAAGTAGAGTTTTTATTATGTAAGTGTTTTATGATGGAAAAAACATGTTTTAACATATGTTTTAACATACACAGAATGATACAGTGATCCCTCACACATCACTCATTCTTGGGAAGGTTTAAATCCAACATTTAACCTAGCATTTCTATTGAGTTTCAAGTGTTTAAAGTGGATGAAGGGTTTCTTGTTAGCTCAGTCTGCTGTCCTAGTGGAAGTTTTTTGCTTTCAAAGCTTTTTTTTGTTGTTCTTTTGTTTTGGTACCTGGAATCAAACTCAGGACCTTGCACTTGCCAGGCAGGCGCTTGTGCCGCTGAGCTATATCCCAGCCCTTGATTTCAACACGTAACACATTTTAGAAATGGTTCACAGGTTCTTTAATAGCTGCATAGCGTACAACGTACCAGTTTATTCATCCACCCTCCTAGAGGTCATTTCGGCTGGTTTGTTTGTGCGTCTGTTTGTTTTTGAAGACAGGGTCTCCCAAGGGATTCAGGCTGGTCTCAAACTCACAGCTATGCTTTCGCCTCAGCCTCCCCAGTGCTGGGATGACAGGCGTGCACCACCACGCCCGGCAACATTTTGGCTGGTTGTTGTTACTACGAAGACTGCTGTGGTAAATCTTGAATACACAAATACCTTTACAGAATACATTACTAGGAAAGGAACAGCTGCCCGGTCAAAATGTGTGTTTATAATCGACGCATCGCCAAGCTGCTGCACGGAGGGCCACCTCCACCGATTCCACTAGACTCTTAATGACGTTTCTGTGCAACTTGACACTTATTTGTCGCTCTAATTTAGAACTTCTTTCTTGTTGCTGTTGTTGTTCTGAGCCAGAGTCTTGCTATGTAGCCCAGGCTGGCCTTGAACTTGTCCAATCCTCCTGCCTCAGCCTCCTGAATGCTGGGATTATAGGTGTGCACCACCATGCCCAGCAGTACTTCTAATTCTAAAGAGATATTAAACAGGTGATGGGTGAAACAGTAACACCTAATAATTTTTTAGGTTAAAGGCCCTTAGGGGGCTGGGGATATAGCTCAGTGGCACAAGCGCCTGCCTGGCAAGCATAAGGTCCTGAGTTTGATTCCTGGTACCAAAAAAAAAAAAAAAAAAAAGGCTCTTAGACTGCTGAGAAAAACAACACTAACAGAGCCGTATTTAAAAAGGCAGGAGGGTTGGGGATATAGCTCAGTGGCACAGCGCCTGCCTGGCAAGTGTAAGGTCCTGAGTTCGATTCTTGGAACAAAAAAAAGGGCAGGAATTTAGCAAGGTAGGGTGGTGCGCATCTGTAATTCCAGCTACTCAGGATGGTGATGCAGGAAGATCCCAAGTTCAAGGCCATTTTCGGCAATTTAGCAAGACCCTGTCTCAAAACAAAAGGAAACAACAGGAACAATAAAATCAGGTAGCTCAGCACTCCCTTGGTCCAACATTGAATCCCCAGTATAGCCAAACAAGTAGAAAAACGCCAGGAAACTGAAAGTTGTTAATATTACCTCTAGTAGGCTAACGCCATTCTTCAACATAAAATACTAATAAAACTTCTGGGGCTTTCCTTGAAGTCTTCCTATTTTTTTTTCCACTTCTCTTTTCAGTTTATTTGCTCTGTATCTCTCAGCCATTGAGACAAGCTCTTCTGGGATACTCTAAAATTAGTAAATGTGTGATTAGGAGTCTGAGGGTTTTCTTTTCTACAGTATGCTCAAATACCTCCACATCATTTCAGAAGATCTGTACCACACATCCTGCTGCATCTTCCAAACAGAATGCAATGTGGCTCTGCCTGCCAAGTCCCCTGTCTGTTTTCAGGCTGCAGAGCTAGACCGATCTGAAGGGTTCCCGTCACCAAGCTGCTCCCTGCTCATGCCGCCCTGCACTGACGCTGGTGCCCTCCCTATGCCTCTTCCTGGCACCGTTTTCTACACACTGCGTCTGCCCTGCTGGGACGCTGCCCAGGCACCTGTGACCCTCTCCGCTCGCTGCTTTCCTCGCTGCAGTAGCTCCCCAGTTATGTGCTCCTAAAGCCCCTCACCTTTCCCACGCTGCAGCCCTCAAGGCTTGTTTTCCTTTTTTTTGTCTTTTTTTTTTTTTTTGGTCTTTTTGAGACTGGGTCTCACTACACAGTTCAGGCTGGCCTTGAGCTCACTTTGTAGCCCAGGCTGGCCTAGAATTCTCAACGATCTTCCTGCCTCAGCCTCCTGAGTGCTGGGATTACAGGCGTGCGCCACCATGCCTGGCTAAAACTTGTTTTAAAAACTTCTTTTTATGTATTTTTTGATAAGCAATCTGTACCGGTACCTGCATAATACGACTGAACACTAATCTCTGAGGCACTGCATATTCTCACCTGATTTGCTCTTTCCAGAATATTGATCAGTTCGGTGGCAATCCTCCAATCATTTCTTGTGATAAGCGTAATTGACATGCCGGTCCTCCTTTAAAGGGGGGAAACGGGGGACAACTCATGGAACTTTTGTAATATTGAATAGCACTTGTACATAACATATACACATCCTCCTGGATGATTTATTTATAAAACTTTATTGGTGCATTTTAGATACACATAATGATCACATTCATCCTAGGGAATCTGCACCCGTACATGATGTATCTCGCTGCTTTTTTCCCGTTCCTCTCCCTTCCTTTCAGACCCTCTTCCCCTCTTTATTTACAAAAGCTCTGTTTCCATTTTTTCCTTCTATTCTTTTTTTGTCTCTTCTTTTCCTTCCATCTTCCCCGTTCCCCTTCTCATTCGAACATTTTCTTCCTATTTCCCATATCTGTATACATTTTGGTCCTTATTCCTGTATAACTTGAACCATAATAATTACTTGTATTACCTAATACAATGCAAGTGCCATGTAAACAGTTGTTATATTCCATTGTTCAGCAGTGAGAAAGTCTATACTATCTATCTATCTATATTTGTTTATTTTAAAGAGAACAAAAACAAAATAAAAACAAAGAGAAAAACAAAATAATACAAAAACAATAAAAATGATACAGAATTCCAAAAAAAGATGATAGGAAATTAACAATGGTTGTTGTATTACTTACTGTTATCTTCAAAGTAGTTGCTCAGATTACCAGATAAAGGCATGTAAAACTGATCAAACCATTAAACACTAACTGTTCCTTTCAATTAGAAATTATTAGTACAACTGTCTTAGCTATCTTGTGTATATATGTACATAAACACAAGATAGCTAAGACATACATACATACACACACACACACACACAGGAAGGGAATGAAAACAAAGGTGCATATACATATATACATATATATATATTTTTTTCTCACTTCCTTCTTTCTTTTTGCCTTTCCCCCATCCCAGTTGTTCTTTCCTTTTGAGCAGTTTCTTTCCCTTTCACAGTATCTATTTTACCTTTCAGATTTTATTAACTCTTTCAGGTTCTTACACTAGGGAGATTACAATGCTTACAGATGTGAGTCTGATTTATTTCACATGTGAGTATGGTCTCTACTTGCATCCATTTACCTATAAAAGTCTCAAGTTTATCTTTCTTTATAGCTGAGTAGTACTCCACTGTATAAAAATACCACCTCTTTTTCACCCATTCCGCTGTTGATGGGCATTTGACCCTATATATTTTTAGCAGATACAGTATTTCTCCAAGTGTGTTCAAGCTGTGGCCAGTCACGTCTTGAAGACATAGCCCCAGAGGCAGAGCGCTGCCTGACGCTGTGCTCTGTGGGTGTCTGAAACTGCAGCAGGGGTTGTGACAGAAGGAGGCAAAGGTCGTTTGCGCCACCTGGGCCAATTCAGAAACCCTGGCAACAACAAAGCTGTCACTGGGGACAGCTCAGGAGGTACCATGATGAAATTGAACCAGGGAAGGGAACAGGGATGAAAAATAAATTAAGGTGCATTAGGTATGCATGCCAGCTCCTCACAAGGAAGGCAGGCATGAGGTACTACAAACATGGGCTAACGAAAAAATTAAACCACTAGTACCGGCAACGATTATAAGAAGCTAATCATAACTGGCGCTGGGCGTGGTGGCGCACGCCTGCAATCCTAGCACTCGGGAGGCTGAGGCAGGAGGATCGTTGCGAGTTCGAGACCAGCCTGTGCTACAAAGTGAGCTCAAGGCCAGCCTGAACTGCACAGCGAGACCTTGTCTCAAAAAGACAAAAAGCAAAAACAACAACAAAAAACCCTGACATACCAGGATCTAGTTGAATCTGGAACAGGCCAGATGAACAAAGTTAAAGGAGCCAAGTAGGTTCTGGGGAAGAACTGAAAATTTATCAGCAAGAGAACAAAAGTGATTTTGTGGGCAGGAGTAGCCTGAGAGGGAGGACTGAGAACGCAGAAGCGGGCTCCTTCGCGGCTGGGCTGTGCCCACTCACCCCGCTCTTCCGGTGCGGCCCACTCTGTGTACATACTCTTCAATGTTCCGGGGAAAGTCGTAATTATAGACGTGTGTGATATCGTGCACATCAAGGCCTCGAGACGCCAGGTCAGTAGCAATGAGGATTCTCACTTTACCTGGGAGGAAAGGCAGAGAAACACCAGATCATTCTGGTGCAAACTGGGCCAGTGCACAGATGAGGGTGTATTTGCCCTTATTATTTTATCAGGTGAGCTATGATTGCTACATTAGAGTGCTTAGATAGTAAAAATAGAAAAGTGATGTACAAATACATAAAACTGCTGGCACATTACAATACAGCCAACACCATGATTCAGCAAATGGTCCCTGAACTATATGAACCATGGGAGAGAAATGTCTTTCGGGTAAACTGAGATACTGCCCCCACTGCAAATTAACACCCTGATAGCTAGGTTTACGTATTGATCTTTTTCAAGTCTGGCTGGTTAGATCTTAGAGATTAATATTTAGAGCCCTGCCAAACACACTTTGGGGATATGTGAACTGAGGACAGACCTTAGAAAATGATCACCATGAAAAGATGCCATCACTCGCCCAAGCCCAGGTACTGGACGGACTTTAAGCTGGAACACACAAGCATCGCATCCAGGTACCTTTTTTGAAGTTCTCCAGTGCTTTTTCTCGGTCGCTCTGTTCTCTGTTGCCATGCAAAGACTCTACTGATATTTGTCGAAGAATGAGGTCGCTTGATAAATGATCAGCACTGAAGCAAACGACAGGTGATTTTTAAGTGCTTATCTTAACACCATCATCAGTTCACTAGCTTTATTTCTATTACTGAAATCATGTCACAGGCTACACCCAGTTTGAAACAAACAGATTTGATGATTACAATGCAAGTACAAGAAAAATCAACAAATGAGGCTGTAATCCCAGCATTTGGGAGGCTGAGGCAGGAGCATTGCTGTGAGTTTGAGACCAGCCTGAACTACATAGCAAGACCCTGTCTCAAAACCAACCAGCCAACCAAATGGGATTATATCAAATTAAATAGCTTCTATATAGTAAACAACAGAATAGAGACAAGCTACAGAATGGGAAAAAAATCTTGCCATCTGTTCTTTGCACAAAGGGCTACTATCTAGAGTATTAAAGAACTTAGACACTTCTCAAAAGAAGTAAGAATGGCCCATAAGTACACGAAAAAATGTGCAGCATCTTTGCCTATTAGAAATGCAAATAAAAATAACGCTGAGATTCCATCTCACTCCTGAAAGAATGGCCATCACCAAGAAATCAAATAATAACAAGTGCTGGTGAGGCTGCAGGCCAAAAGAAAGCCTTTTCCACTGTTGGTGGGAACATAAACTAGTGCAGCCACTATGGAAATCAGTATGGAGAGTCCTCAAAATCCTAAAAATACCAACTCCATTTTGACCTAGCTATTTCTTTTCTGGGTATCTTCCAAAAAGCATTAAGGTCATCACAGTACAGTGAGACATGCGTACCTATGTTTAGAGCAGCACAACTCACAAGAGCTAAATTATGGAAACAGCCCATACGGCCATTCTCAGGTGAGTGGATGAGACAATGGTATATGTATACGATGGAGTACCGCTCAGCCATAGGAAGTGGCCTGTAGGACAATGGGTGGGATCTCGAGACCATAACGCTAAGTGAGACAGTACGGGGGTTAAATATCACATGATTTCTCTTGAGAAACCCCAAATATAACTAATCTAAGGGAGAATTACAAAGTGTAACTAAAGGGAAGAACAACTGGGGTGAGGGAAAAGAGAAAAGAAAGCAGGGAAAAATTATGTATATATGTATACACAGGATAGCTAACATAGTGGTACTACTGACTTTTCTTGCTCTATTGAAAGGAACAGTTTAACTGTTTGATCAATCTTGCATGTCTATATTTGTTTATCTGTATATCCAAATTGAAGATATCCATATGTAATACAACAAGCATTGTTAATTTCCTACAACCTTGTCTGAGATTCTGTATTGCTTGTATTGTTTGTGTGTTGTTTTCTAAATGTATGTGTGTTTGTTAAGATGTTTTCATTCTTTTATCTTTCAAATAAAATAAAAAAAAATATAACTAAAGGGCCGGGGGTGGAGCTCAGCAGCACAGTACCTACCTGGCAAGCACGAGGCCCCGAGTTCAATTCCTGGCACCAAAACGAAAGAAAAAAAGAACTAACGTAAAGGAGAAGTGGTAGGAAGCACGGAGGCCGACTTACTGGAGATGGGAAGGGGGAGGGAGAGATGGAGGGGGAGGAAGAGAGGAGGGGAGGAGGGAGTGAAAAACGATAAAGGTGCAATATGTGTATTTACAATTTACCCAAAACGAATGTAATTATTATATATCACGAACATGTATTAATGAAAAAGATTATAAAAAGGAACCACAAGGCAAAAAACATTTAATTATTCCTTTTTTTGGTATGGGGAATCGAACTCAGGACCTTGTACTTGCCAGGCAGGCGCTTGTGCCGCTGAGCTACATCCCCGGCCCTGTTGAATTATTCCTGCCTAAAAACCAGGAGAATACTCACACTGCTTTTCTGCTCACAAAGACAATGACCTTGTCTTTGGGGGACATGTTCTCCAGGAAGGTCTGGATGTGGGTGCGCTTCTCTTCCTCGGTGGTGATGATGATGTCCTGCTTCACCGTACTCACAGCCTGAAGCACACGAAAGT